CAAGACCAAAAGTAATTATAAACAAGGGACTACGATGTCAAAAGAAGAGCCACAACCGATTCTGTCATCAAAGTGGACTCATGGCCTCGCCTTCGATGGACGCTTGTGCAATACCTGAAAAATGTTCCCATAAAGGGTAAACCAACGCTCAATAGGGTAACTCCTATATAGAATACCTCTCAAACTAAATGCATATAAAATGTTACAACAATCATTTCATGCAATCATTCAAATATGTCTATTATGAACAAATGTCATAAATCATGTCATGCCATGAGATGAGACTCACGAAAATAATACCAACACCGAGCCCCATCCTGAGCTCCTACAACACATGCAATGTGATGCGTATATATCCGGGCATTCCAAGCCCCCGTCATTGGAGTTATGTACATTTAATGACTAATTAATTCATTTTCTTGTGTCTTTGTGGGGAGATGATTTATGTTATTACACCAATGGGACACCAACCATCAACGGATTCTCAGGACATCTCACCTACAACTTCGTTTTGGCCGTTACACTTTTTTAGAATTTCACCACCGAAAAGTGTATAAACCAAGTAAGCGGGTCTTGCGCCCGAGGGAGAATCTAGTCCTTCTTGCTATTTTCGACACGTTTATCCATTTAATTTTCCATGTGACTCAGTCAGACCTTGGTGCGACTTTTCTGAGCTCACAATCAACCTCCTATGTGGTGATTGATTTCATTCCATGCACACACTCCCATCCATGTCAATCCCCATGAATGTAATGTAACTCATGCATAATGACATTTTAATGTGCAATTGCCTTTGGTACCATTTACAATGTCCATTACATAAAGAATACAATATAATGACATTTTCAACATGTTTATCAATTCTATAAACATAAACACAAGTCCACCACAATAATTATATGCTAAATAATCATTTAATATACATATTATTCCATAATCACATAACAAGCTAATAATTTTATTAAACTTGATATGTCATTTAACACATAAAATAATGCTAATGTACAATTAACATGCTTTAAACAACTAACATTAACTTACACTAAGTTAATCATAATAAGATTTTTCTAATTACAAAGTTAATTATAAATAATATATTTGACTCAGTAGTTACACTAGTCAAGACCTAACATGTGATATACACCCATAACCTACCTATTTCATATGTCATATTTTAGGTTGAAAGTAAATCTAAATAGGAGAAACCCTAACTCTCGTAGCGTGAGCCCACGTACTGGCACTCCGAGGAAGCCTAATTTAACTTCCCAAACTTTAAGCCTATATTATCGTCTTTGATATTCTTTCAGAGAAAAATATGATATTTAGTGTGGTTACGTAACTCTTGCTGAGTAGAGTAACTTTAATTCTTGACTCGAAGCAATTAAACGGTCCAATCTTTATAGATCTGAAGAAGAAGAAAGGAGGAAAATAAAATAAAAAAAAACTCATTTCCCCCTCTCACTCACTCGGCAGCCGGCTGGAGGAAGAAAAAGTGGAAGACTAAAGTCATCCACACTTATATATATATATTATAAATTTATAGTTTAAAAATTTAAGTTTTTGACCCTTATATTTATAATTAATTATTATTTTATCCCTTTAATTAAGATTTTTAATAATAATAATAATAAAATTTTTCTTCCGGATTTTACACTTAGGCACACAAGACTCTCTAGTTTATAACGGTGTTTACTAGAGGTAAATGATGAGTACTCTTATTTCTATTTTGAGAAAAAAAAAAAAAACTTGGGTCTTGGAGTTATTGTGATATATCATTTAAATGGATGAACACTAGTCATTACATCACGTCCCATTTCTAGCACAGTGATATGCTCTTTTTTTTTTTTTTTAATTTAATNGAGAAAAAAAAAAAAAACCTGGGTCTTGGAGTTATTGTGATATATCATTTAAATGGATGAACACTAGTCATTACATNCTTGGGTCTTGGAGTTATTGTGATATATCATTTAAATGGATGAACACTAGTCATTACATCACGTCCCATTTCTAGCACAGTGATATGCTCTTTTTTTTTTTTTTTAATTTAATGGTAAGGGAAATTCACATCAGATTACGTGTACCTCAATTAATCTCTTGGTCTAGTCAAAGACAAGTCATCCATGTTAAGACTAGAAAATTTATGAGAGATAAATCTTTTATAATCTGGTTTTAACGAGTTGTCAAGATTCGAATTCAGGAGGTTTAAGTTTACAATTTATCCTTTTTACCATTTGAATTAATCTCGGTATTGTGATGTGTTCTATTTGGCACAAAGGAATCCACATTGAACTTATACTGCTAACTCTACCATGGACTTACCCATGTTCCAACCCACAACTAGCCTACAAACATTGTTGAAAGGCCAACTTGCCTGTCCCTTGGGAAAATGTTGGGTTGTTAACCCATTATTAAACAATTTAAAAGTCATAAAGAGTACAACCTGTGTACAAGAGTCGTGCCTACAATAGAATTCAAGAGACTATGGCAGATTAAACACTACAAATGTGTGAGAACTTGATTTTACTTGCCCAAACAAGACGAGTAGCCAACTCACATGATTCCATTTATATGCGTGAGCTTGACCTCTTGAAGCCTCCCAGTACTTGTCTTGTTTGGGCAGATTATATTCTCAAAAGAACCAGACATCACCCAACCAAAATGGATGTAACCCTTTAAATGGAAGTTAGATTGAGAAAGAGAGAGTTTCTTTGAGGCAGGAAAAACAAAAAAGAACAAAGAATAATAAACCTGACTCCACCATCTGAAGCATGTTTTGAACTGTCAAAATTCTTCTTATAATAAAGAAGATAAGAGTTTGGAGGAATGATACAATAGGAAGGCTCTATCTGGACATAAGGAAAGGTTATCACAAAGCACAAATTAGGGAAAAATTGAAGTCACATCAAGTTTTGAGGTTCAAGTCATTCAAACTTTTGGTCAACGCCAAGCACAAAAAGCTTAACAGTTAGTAACATGCCAAGGCCCCAGTGCCAGTTCTCTCATAAAAAAAAAAAAAAAAAGTGCCAAATGAGGCTGAAAATTTGAATGCCAAATGGCTCCTTGACATCATCAACCTGTGTGGCATTTTGTACATTGGAACAATACTCTGATGATACATATTCAAAGTAAGCAGGTTCATATCCCACCTTTCAACACAATCCAAAAACTTTGTATATCAGTTAGTTTGAATATTTAGAAGATGCCAATGCCAAACTAAATGGCATCAATTGATTTGCCAGCTTATGAGATTCTACATTTTTTGTGACCGTCACCGGACCTTTAAAACCAGAGTTTATTTAAGTCAAGTCAAAAAGCATATCAATGACATTTTAACTCATTTTTAAAAGCAACTTAAAAATATAATTTGATTCATTTCATAATTTTAAACGAACTAAAATCGATCCAAACCCGAACTAAGTTTTAAACGATCTAAGTCGTCTAAAGGAGGAAGCCAAAAAATGAGTGGCTTTTACGTAATATATGTGAAGATATCATATGGGCATGTTTGCCTGAAAACAAGGGACCACCGCCACAATAATTATTTCCCAGTCACCTTAGGAAATTTGCACCCAAAAAATTTAAGAATTTTTATGTTGTACCTTTAAAAATTAAATTATTTAATTATAATGTCAATTTATTAAAGCGTCCCTTATATTAGTTTCTATTGCTCGTTTCTTCAAAAGTACCACATTGACATTGATGGAACGAGTAAAACAAATTAATGAAAGGGTTATATTGAAATATTTGTAACACATGGGGGTGTAATATAAAATTTTAATTTACAAATTAAGAATTTTTAAATCTTATGGGGGTGGAAAGTGAAATTCTCCCTATAAATATTCCCACGTTTTCCCACTCTCAGCCAACAGAGATATAAAAGCACAGAGCTTGAACACTTTGGGGAAGCTGAAGAAGCGCCATATATGTAGATATCATCAACTCAAGCAGGCAATTCTAAAACTCATACAGGTACTTCAAAGCTTTAATTATATGTATAAATGTTAATTTTCTGTTTGGTGGTTGCGAAAATTGTAATAAAGAAAAGAAAAGAAAAGAACAACAGAGAAAATCAGTCAACTCAATCTTCTTTAAGCCTGTTTAGATTTATTTTAGTAGCTTAAACAGCTAGCAAAATTAAGATCTCTCCGTTTGACTGTTTCGTTTACCTTTTCTTCATGTTTTCTCAGCATCCAAACATAGCTTGACTCTGAGGATTTCTCTATTTCCATCTCTTTCTCCCTTTGGATCTGGTATTTCTAGGAATTTTGTTTTTAGAGGTAAATTGTGGTACTTTCATTTGGTTTTTTCACGCATTCTAGGGTTTTTTATTTGGGTGTTTTTGGATTCTCTTATGTATGCTAGTAACAGGGTGGTTGTTTGCTTTGCTGGAGAATGAGAGAAACTGCTTGTTGATTGATGATTAATGTTACTTCCTGTAACACTTGAGTTGGGCTTTGTTTGGCTGATGTAGAAACAGAGTAATAATTAATAAAAAGGACTGGTAGTTTCTCTTTATGTCTTTTTTGGTCATGGAGAAATGGTTACAAGCTTTCTCTATAGATGATTCAGACAAACTGGGGGCAAGACTCGAATGGGTTGGGATGTTGCCAGCGGACCCAGTGCCATTTGGCCATCCCAGGCTTTATAAGGGCAAGTAATTTGAATTGCTTTGTTATTTTGTTTTATTATTATTAGTTTGTTTTTGTTTTTTTTTGTGATTTCATGATGTGCAATGAATATCGAACTCCTGAAGCTCATTAATGAATTTTTGGTTCTGTGAAATTTCGTCTGCTTATGAATTTCCTTAATGGGTTTCTTTTAATTGCACTTGAGGATTGACTAAAGTAGGCCTCTAGTTTTGGAATTTAGAAATAAGAAAACCAATCTAACTAGATTTGGGTCTTGGGAATTTGCAGGGTTGGTGTAGAGGTCTTCAAGTTTTATCAACCATTTGATCAAGTCTTCTTGATATGGGGCATGACCTTCGATATACCTGCCAGATGGAAACTAGGAGACTGCTATGGCTAGTGGGAGTGGTATTCGCCATAGTTTTGACAATTCAGTATTTTGAACTTCCTAATGTTTTCTCATCTTTATTTTCTGCTGGTGAGACTCAAATACTGATACTCGAAACGTCAGCAACAGGAAACTCATCCCTAAGCCCCCAAATATCAGGGAATCTGACAATTTTGAACAGTTCGAACTCAGATTTCACAACTGCTATTCATGATACAAATAATATAACAAATATCTCCGAGGCAAATGGATATACATCAGAAAGGGATGGAGGCTCAGATGAATCCCTTGTATTAGATGAGGATGGTGATCCTGAAGATGAATCTTCATCTGAGAACGTCATAGAGATAAACAACACTTCAACAGTGGAGAAGACAGATAGAAATAATAGCCCGGCACCGGAAAAGGCCAGAGAATCTGACTATACTACTAATGGAAATTCCTCATTAGGCAGTATTCAGAAAGAACATCTTCCTTTCGCTTCAGAAGAAAAAGGGAATTTAGATAGTAATCCTTCTATCCCTTCATTTGGATCATCCCCAATAATTTCACCATCTCCCTTATCTCCACAAAATGTGGCTACGAATTCAGGAATTCCTGCAATATCTTCCAACCCTAAAATATCTTCAGTTGATAAAGGTTCAGTTGTCAGGACTAATATTCCAGCTGGGAAGGAAAGGTCTGAGAGGCCATTGGCAGAAGTAATGTCAGTATCTGAAATGTATGATTTGTTGCGTCAGAGCCGTGCTTCATCTCGTTCAATGGTATGCAAAGGATTTTCATTCTAGTTTGGTTACAGATATTTAGCTGGATACAGGAGTTGTTGCAACTGATTTTTGAATCTGTGTGCAGAGACCGCGATGGTCTTCAGCTGTTGATCAGGAATTATTAGTTGCGAAGTCACAGATTGAAAATGCACCCATCATAAGAAATCATGGCCTATATGCTCCTCTATATCGGAATGTTTCCATGTTTAAAAGGTAAATCTATCATCTTCTTATATTGGATGTATGCTAGGTCACTTCTTTTGGTTTACTTCTTTCATCCTCTTGATGTGTCTGTTTTGTAATGTTGCCACGATTTACTGTATTAGACACGAACTCTGTTATACCTCTATTTGCATTTTCACACAACCAAATTCAGCTGCCCTTTCGCAACCACCACTACTCATGCAATTTCTCCCTCTCACACACACACAGACTCTTACAAAGATGTAATATCACCGTCAGTGGGGTTTTTTATGTTATAGAGAAGGTGAAGACTGTGAAAGAGGTGTCTTTGATACAAAATAGTAATCCAGTTTTTGATAGGTGGGAACATATTGGCAATTCAATTGATATACCAGTTATGCTGCTTGAACTAACTTACAATTACTTTCTGAAACTAACTTAACAATTAAAAAAATACGTTGGATTTAGTTTATATTTTTGGAATAAATTGAAATATGATTATTTTGACTTGAATACCTTTCACCAGAGTTTGTGACAATGGCTGCCCCTTAATAACTAGTTTTTAGCAATTTTTATAAAGAATATTTGGGTAACATAGGGTTAGGGAAGATTGTGGAAGTCCTTACGGGAATTTTGCCCCTTTAATTTGTTTTTTTATTGTGGTAAGCCCGCTGAATAAGACTGATTGGCATACTTATTATCAATTATCATTCCTATGTATTAAACTTCATAATGAAAGTGTCTGAACCATCAAGCTTGACAATTGATAATTAACACCAAAATGCAGATGCTCTTCAAAAAGTAAAGAAGCTGAAGAATTTATGATTGAACCAGTCAAATTGTTTGGATAGATAAATGTTCTCTCATTGAATTGTGCAACTGCACAGATAGAAGGGTTTCTTATTTTCTTCTTTGTTTTTTGTTATTTTAATTGTTTTAAAGAGGCTAGAGCTAGAATAGGCTTGGGGTATTTATAGCTGAGTGTGCTTTGTGTACATTCTATACAGACAAAATTAACCTTGCACCTCATGACCTCTCAGATATGTCATGAAAAGAACCCCTGCTTCCTTAATGGTGCAATCATCTTTCATTGAGCAAGCACCTCGCGTGAATCAATAGTCATGTTGTGAGCATTAGAAAGACAAGGTGTTGGTGTTTTGGATTGTTAATCATCTGCTCGGGTTTCAATTTCAAGTTACTGACATATCTGTTGCATGGATGTGGGTTTAAGTATGAGAGTAGATAAAAACATTGCATAGTCAAAGTTGCCATTTTGTTCAATAGTTCCTTGAAATGTCTCTTACACCCCTACTTTTTTTTGGTAAGAAAAAATATTGGCACGACCCGTTTATCTATCTCTGTTTAGTTATTCAGAGGAGTGACAATATATTTTATCATTTTTCCCAAGATATTCTTGATGGCAGTCGACTTCTAGCCCTCCCATGCTTTGATAACTTGGTGGTGGGAATCTGATTGCCTTTCATAATCGTAGATATAGACGTGGGGATTAAAACTAAGTTGTCATTCTTACTCTGGGGGACTTATTTCTCATTTTGATTATTAATGTTAGGACTCTTTGCTTTAGGGTTTTGATAGTCACTATATCTAGGGAATTGTGTAAAGGTTTGGGACAGCCTTTGATTATTGGTTTATTGAAATTATTAGTCTTTCCCTAATCTCCTCCTTCGACCTTTTTTTTTTTTTCCCTCCTTCACTTTCCTTCCCCCAATTCCCTTCCCAGTCTACATTAGTTGGGTAAGCCTTGTTTTCTTAGGTGCAGAAACAAAGAAATGAGGGGGGTCCTACCATGGGGACAGTTTCTGATTTGCCTATTAGCAGGGTTGGAAAGTAGTAGAAACACTTCATTGTGTTTGGAGTTTCACATAAAGTCCTCATAATATATTCACATTAGTGAATATTCTCCACCGGTTTTAAATTTTGAGTTAATGCTTTTTAAATGAAATATTCATCCCGTCTTATTGAAGATGTCATGTACTTTGATCCAAAAATCTCTTAAGCAAAAAAGTTAACTAATATTGCTCACGTGAATTGCAAAATGAATTTGTTTAGTAAGGCCTCATCGTGAAATGCAGGAGCTATGAATTAATGGAGCAAACACTGAAGGTTTACATCTACAAGGAGGGTGAAAGACCCATATTCCATCAGCCAGTGCTCAAGGGAATATATGCTTCAGAGGGTTGGTTCATGAAGCTGATGAAGGCAAGCAAACACTTTGTTACTAAGAATCCAAGAAAAGCCCACTTATTTTACTTTCCTTTTAGTTCTCGAATGTTAGAAGAGACCTTGTATGTACCTAATTCTCACAACCGCAAGAACTTGGTTCAACATTTAAAGAACTACCTTGACATGATTGCGGCAAGATACTCTTTCTGGAATAGAACTGGTGGAGCTGATCATTTTCTCGTTGCTTGCCATGACTGGGTACGATTGACTGCCTTTTTGCGATTTAAGTTTTGTCTATGAAGATACTAAGGGATTCAGCTTCCATATGGATGTCTAACTATTCCTTTTTCTCCCATAGCTTTCAACTGTGCTTTTGCTTTTTGTAGCATTCCAATGAAACTGTTTTGTTGCATCTAGTATTCATTTCCAAACCAAGTACAGGCCCATATAATTTTTTTTTCCGGTGATGACTATAATTTTTGGTGATGGATATGATGCTTTAAATGCTGTGCAAAATGAATGGAGTGCTTTTGTTTTGATGTGCATATGTCTCCGTTGAATAATTAAATGTTTTAAATCTCTTACCAGTATAATTATCATTTTTTTCAGGCTCCATCTGAAACAAGAGATCATATGCCTAATTGCATTAGAGCACTCTGCAATACTGACATCAAAGAAGGCTTTAAATTGGGCAAGGATGTGTCTCTTCCAGAGACATATGTACGCTCGCCTCAGCATCTCTTAAGAGAACTTGGAGGCAAACCTTGTTCTGAGAGGCAAATTCTTGCTTTCTTTGCTGGAAGTATGCATGGCTATCTCCGTCCTATTTTGTTGCAATACTGGGAAAACAAAGATCCTGACATGAAGATCTTTGGCCGGATGCGTAAGGTCAGGGGACAGATGACCTACGTCCAGCACATGAAGAGCAGCAAGTACTGCATATGTGCTAAAGGTTATGAAGTCAACAGTCCTCGAGTTGTGGAGGCCCTCTTCTACGAGTGTGTTCCAGTGATTATATCAGATGATTTTGTGCCTCCCTTTTTCGAGGTTTTGAACTGGGAATCCTTTGCTGTTTTTGTTTTGGAGAAGGATATTCCAAATTTGAAGAACATTCTCCTCTCGATCCCAGAGAAGAGGTATCTCCAGCTGCAGAGGAGTGTTAAGCAGGTGCAACAACATTTTCTTTGGCANGAGTATAGTGGCTTTCTAGCCACTCATCAATACAATTCATATGGAATGCATGCCTGCACTTAGGCAATAACTGGAGGATTTCCGAATCCTCGAATTTTGATAAACAAACAACACATTCTAGGCCTTCTTTAGAGCCATTAAGGGAAGAAAATCTGAAAAAGGGGAGTGATTCAATCACTGTTTTATCAATCCCTGAAGATCTTGATCTTGATCTGAGAAGTCCATGGAGGTTTTCCTCATGAGTTAAGTGANGTGAAGGTGATAGGTACTGTGTTCATGGAGGCGCATTTGGATTTCTCAAATTTCACATCATTTACATAATAATCATACACATCCAATTCATTAGGTACACTTTGCAATTGAGAAAATCAAACTGAACTTGAGTTACTCGGATCGTTTAATAGTAACACATTATCTCTTCTCTACCTTATATGAAACTTATAAGCTGCTGTATCACAGCAAAGAACAGAAGTTTCTCAGAATTTATCAGCTTTCNGGTTTTGAGCTTTGACATGGGAGGACAGCAAGAAGAGAACTTTGAAGAACAGTCCGGTTTGATTCATTGAGCAAATGGGAACACAAACTGTTTTCTAGATTTCTCTATGATCACTGCTCCTTATGTGAACATTGCAGGCTGATATGTGATAGGTCTCTCTCTCTTGTCCAAAAGATTTGTTTACTCAGATTCTTTGCTTATAGCAATTTTTATATATAATCAAGTGGTTTCGTATTTGGTTGTCTCTGTCTGTCCAAATTGGAGTACTAAGTTTATTGGCAATGGCATCTTTTGAGTTTTCTGATGCAGAAACTGCTTGAGGCAAAGAGACAAAGAGCCAAATACGTTTCTGTCCCCGTCAGAACTCAGACATCAGGCTCTATGCCTGTATTTATGACACAAAGTAACTTGGAGCTTGGTTTTTGAGTATACTCACTAAAAATTCATGCCTGAAAATGATTTTGCAGTATAGTACCGAAGAATTACTTTTTAGTTCAATAGTACTACCTATTTATTTATTTTGGTCCAACTATACTACCGAGAAATTACATTTCAATAACATGTCTTTTTTCAACCAATTAGAATGTGACATGTGTAAAGTTTCTTTATTTTATGTATCATTTTACTTTATTATTTTCATGATCAATGCAACGAATGAATCAGTCAGCCAAAGATCTATGACAATAAATCAGTTTTCGATATGGTATCAAAAAATTGTTTAAGATTCCATAATCTTATCCTTAGACGGCGAGTTTTGGTGCAGCAATAAGACTATTCTATTATGAACTAAGCATTAAGAGTTCAAATCACAAACATCTCACTCTTCCCAGACTCGCAGTGGCAGCAGTATCATGTACTGATCTGCTCTTTTTTACCATAGTCTTATCCTTATTTATATGTTTAGTGGCGCCCCAGTTGACTGTCTGATTTGGAGGATTCTTCTTTTCCATCTCTATCTGTCTTTATACAAAATCAATAGTAAATACAATGCCAGGCTTTCACTTTCATAAACCTATCCAAAAATGGAGCGAAGTGGACAATTTTTCTAGTGAGAAACAAGGAATCCTTTCCAGTGCCCTACCCTCAGGCCCTCTTTGTCTGTATGTTCAGGTTTTTTCCTCCTCCAATAGAACTTGGCCTGCATTGCCATACTGAAATATATGCAGTTTGTAGTTGGTTGTTGTAGAAAATATAGATCCAAAATCTAGAAGATAACTCTTAAAAACTCCGAGTTAGAAAATTAAATAAGTTCCAAGCTTTGCATACGACTTACATGTAAGGGTTCTTATAGATTTGTGCTTCTTTTTTCCACAGGCGCCATTTTCACCAAAGTTAACAGAGCTAAGCAGTCATAAGGTGATTGCCACAGTAGGAAGGTCTGAAAAAATTCATTGCCATTTGTCTCAATCGGATCAAGTAAACATCCAGAGCGTGTTTGCCTCAAGGAGAGAAGAGGGTCTTTGAGCTGTTTTCATAGCAACGGCTTATAAGTTAAAACTTCCAAGCAGCCACAACAAATCTAGAACCTACTTCTGGTAAAAACCACAGAAATGGTAGCTCCTGCTCCTTCCGAGGCATCTTGACAGTTAATTGTATTCCATGAGTACGATCTTATCGAGCCTTAGTAGTCTCTTGACTTTGCTAAGAGCTTCGGATGCATTAGAAATGAGAAAAGATTATAGCATCTGTGATCTTACAGTTGTTTGTCCATGTTACTTGGAATTGTTTAGAATGAAAATGCTTAAAAAAATCTATTTGCAAGCAGGGGTGTTCAAATTTCTTATTATCCGAATATTCCGATCTTACCTGACCTTACCCCGCACTATTGATCGGCTACCGCAAAAAGTTGGATAGGCAAACGAAAGAAATTTTGGTATTCTGCAATAATCAGGTAGGAATGCGGAATTTTTGTGTGTGTGTTAAATGTTTTAACACTATTAATGTGTGCAAAAACCACAAACTAGAAACACTGTTAATGTATTAAATTTTTAACGTTTTTAACATTTTTAACATTATTGTCTTAGTTAATTGGTGCATGTTACTCAATTGAATTATTAAAATAATTCAAAAATTAATAATTAAAAAATATTGTGTTCACCCGATTGTTTTAGACAAAATTTGGGTAAGAATAATACACTTGATCATGCAGGATAGGCAAAGAAAAATTTATTTCGCAACGTATCGAATAAGAAGATGAAATACTGTAATTCCTACCCGTTGGTACGATGAACACCCTCATTTGCAAGGAGAAAAGCTAGCTATCTCCTTTGGACAGTTCTGAGGATCACTTAAACAACCACTTCTTTTTAAATCGATCTACACAATTTTTGATAAGGAATAACAGTGAATGAATACAATTTCATCAACTGTCACACCTTATTACAAGTTGAAACCATGATATTTGTTGGTTTTGGATATATTTAGCATAAGTATTTGTGTTGTAGATCTTCTAATCTTCAAGTTGTGAACTTACTGACATGAAAGCTCCATGAAAACCATATGGCACTCTACCAGGCAGAGTAATTTTGGCAACTGGCTCGCTTGAAATATTTTTTGTGTCGACTATATAAACCTGCAAGAAGAGAGTTAAACATATCTGTAAAACCCTGCAATAATATAGGAGTCTACATAAACACTGGTTAATGGTTGTGAAATAACTTGCTTGAGACATGTTCGTGTTTTCATTATGCACAAATGTAATTATCCAACCATCGTCTTCTTCAAGACCTCCAACTTTAGGAACAAAAGTGGCTCCTGAGCAGAAGGTGTTCTCCGGAAAGCTATGGTACTCAACCTTTATCAACTTGTTCTTCAAGAAATAAAAATAAAAATCTTTATCAACTCTTCGTGTTGTTTGTTTTCCTATTTCACAAAATCAAAGATAGCAAAGGGTGTTCTATGCAAAGCTATATGAATGACAGGAGGGACAAAAGAAGGTGGTGGAGCCTACTAATTCCCAAGACAATCCATTCTCTGGTTCTTCAAAGTATAGCTTGGCTAGACCTCCATATTTTGCCCTTCCTGCAATTTAACAAATTTGACAAAACCATTATTCTCAGAGATTAAGCTCTCATATACATAATGGTAACATTTTTACCTGAAGAGGAACTTGCAATTGAATCAACAACTTGGGCGTACCCAATTTTGTTTTTCCTACTGATGAAGTTTTCATTGATCATAGGAAATTCCATAGAAAATTCTATTCCTGTGAGATTCCTTTCCTTCACCTCTGTTGTTTTCATGTTTAATGTCCACTCGTGGGCACGAGAAAAAACAATTTCATCTTGAGTCATACTGTCACCATTATCTTCAACAGAGTTCATATGCATATAACCTCTGGAAAACCACTCATATTTGTTCAAGCCTAGATCAGGTCTGGGTATAACTGATCCATGAGCTTTACACGCCCACATTACTACCTGCTCATTCTCATCCAAACACAGTTTTAATTCAAATTTATCTTTTCATTTAACCAAAGACATGGGCTTAAGGAAACGGATGCAATATTTACTTATTACCTCATCACCATCCTCGAAACAATTGAAAAGGTGAAATACACTACTTGGTTCAGCTTCAAACCACTGTATGGAATCTGCATCACCATAGCGAGGCATAACTCAAATCCTGGCATATCCTTTCTTGTCATACTTCATCAGCCTACATATAAGGAAAATTGCCATCAAAAAACCAAAGTGTATTCCTCGACTTTTTTAGGCCTTTGCTAAAGAACTTGTTTGTCTGCTGAAGCCATTTATAAGTGAATGTTAAGAATACACACTTACGGGCCTCCACCAATGAGTCGATTTATGTCTATAACCACTGGAAAATCAATGATCACATTGTACCTGCAGACCAAATCTGCATTAAGTCCACACTGAAATTATAATCAACTTTGGAAATTTTAAATCGCGAAAAAATTCGTTGATTAGTACTTAAATACCTCGGTGTAACCCCAAAATCATGGCACATGCTACACCTTCTAAATTTGAGATCAAATCTATGAATTAATTTGTTTCCATCAACTGAAAAAGGACAATGAACTTTAAGATAGCAACAAATTGACAACATTTAAAAAGTGGTTCTAGAGGCCAATTTTGAGCTAAACTACTGAAGTATATACTGGAGATCACTCCCAACTCAAAGTAAGGTTTTTGCGCATCAAACCCCATCATAACTAGCTCTCCAGTTCCTGGAGCTTTCTGTATCATTTAAAATGTCACTTGAGCATAAAGTAATCTGTTTGACATCAAAACAAAAGTCCATTATTCTTGTATGGTTTCGGTACCTTTGGGTGACTAGTGAATGGTTGATTCCATGCTCCATTAACATCCCAATTGCCCAAAGTTTCTAGCGTGAAAATGTCGATCTCTTGAGGCATGTGGTTCTCAGAAATTGAGTAAAACTTCCCTGAATGCTCAAAAACTTTCGTATTGCTAATGTGTTTGTTTACATCGCCAAATCTCAATTGCAAACAATTAGTTATGTCGAGTAATGAAATTACTACTGTTATGGTGTACTTAATCTTTCACAAAGCTTTTAGACAATGGATTTTGGCCAAATAATGTGTTCAAATTACTTGTTTCTAGCATTTAAGGTTGCCCATGCCAGGCTATTGATGGCTCAATGTATAACGCATATAATTCATAGTTGAATTGGACAGTTGATAGAATGCTTTAGTTTAATAAGGATGAGTTCCCCGTATAATAGTACTTATATTCCTAATAGTTTGAGCTGTTTGTTTATCAAATATACAGAAATGGGCCTCCTTAGTTTTCAGAAAATGAGTTGCTCCAAGTTGAGGCACCGTAATTCAATCAAGTGAAGGCTATTGAATTGTTGTGATAATCTTCTTACCAAATTTAGCAGATAAGCTGACAAAATTGCTGGGGAATCTCCTTCAAGTGCAGGAAGAAAAGATGGTTTCTTTCTTTTTTTTTCTAATTTCAAAGTCTCTGTTTGAACATGCCTGTTGTTGTAGGAGATAGTCCAGCTACCATCACTATCTTTATTGAAATTTAAAGAATGGAGCATTCCTTCTCCTTCTATCCATGTGTGACTTGATCTTCCAAACATAGAAATTGTCGATTTTAGTCCTCCAAAAAGAGGGTTTGGGCCTGCAAATGCCATAACATACATTGTTCACATTGTTTTATAACTTTGCATGTTGGTGATGTTTGTTTTTTGTAAAAAAACAATTGGAATTAAACAATGGGAAGACAGAGATTAACCTCATTGGTTAATCTTTGTATCACTTTGTTAACAAGGGATTTACAATTTGGAGTTATATGCAGAGCTCCTACAATGAGTAAATGGCATAAAACCGAGAATTCCTCCATGATTTGAACTTAGCGTTGGATTAGGATTATTAAAGTTCACCCCCTTTTACATAAGTATAATCGATCAACACCAGTTTAATATGGTCCTCCATCTAATACCAAGGGGCAGAAAGATGTACCAGATCAATTTGGATTTATATGCAACTAATATGGACAGTGCCAAGGTTCATTCGTGGTCATCCAAATTTTCACTTATCCTTGTTAGTGAACTTATTTGTGTTCTTAAATACCATTTTTTTTCGATGTTTTCTGGTTATCGACCAAACAAAGAAAAACCTTGCAGTTGTTGTCTTGGTTATTCAGTAAATTCTCACACATCTAGATAGAAATGAGCCATATAAACTAAGGAAAGGCATAAGATATAATAATAATCAAGTGGCTAAAGACAGTATTGGCAATTACATTGACTATAATGTTGGGTGATAAAATTAAAGCAAGTTGCATGCCATTTCTTATGTAGATACCCTCTGCAAAATCATCTGGAATACTTCCTTCAATACTCGAAACAAGAACTGCTTCATCTATCTCTTCAACTGGAGCAAAGTTACTCTAATAGTATACATGTTTTGTGGATACAATTAATATTAATTAATCAAAACTGTTGCATATCAACATCTTTGCAAGCATGCATGCAAGTGCAATGAAGAGGATTAGTGCCCGTGCAGTACCTGAGATGGGAGCAATGGCTGGTCAACAAATTCGAACACACGATCGACAAAGGCATCTAATAATCTCACTAGACTGTTTTTGATGGTTTTGGCAACGTGGTAGATTTGCACGGGGACTTGCTGAAACCCTCTCAAAAATGGCTTCTAAGGAAAACCAGACTCTATGAGTTATGCTTGATATAACTTGTGAAAATTTTCACTTCGACATGTTTTGACAACTAGTATTCTGATAGTGTTAAATTCAGCTTTTGACAAGGTGCTAGAATATATTCAAGCAATAACAATTGACCATTGGACTTAGTTTTAAGATTCTTGAATATAAACAAGGGAAATTGTAGAGAAAGTCAGGTTCTCACTTTTAAATATCAGAGATAAATTTTTCTAAGCCCATATGAGAATATATTAGACACTAAAGATTTACTTGCTAACACCAAAAAAATAACCAAAGTTTCAACTTTTATGTCATATGGGGGGAGAGAGAGAGATTAGTCTGCCTTGAAAGGGGAAGAGAGTGAGTTCTTGAAGTGATCAAATGTGTGAGGTGAAAGGCCTCTGAACAGAGTAATTCACTTGAAATCCATAACTGCAAACATCCATCTCTCTCTCTCTCTCTCTTAACTCCTCTCTTTATCTTAACTCTTACACTTGTAGACTTCTATATATACTTGGTTTTTGGCTTGATATGCTCCGAGATTGGTGCAATCAGAAGCTGTCGAATTGGAGCCAACAATGAACACTAAGCCAATTTTAAGAATAAAAACTGTTTTATTCAGGAGATGAAGATCCCATATTATAAAAAGCATCTTATAATTATAATGTTTTCTTAATAGTTTCGAGCATGCGATGTTATGATATTGACTTATTGGGTTGTATTGAGGCCAAAGGTATGTGGTGTCATTTTCATAAATAGAAACGACCCCACGATTTCATTTGAATTTTGCCATGTTATTGAGGGTTCTTTAGAAAATTGCATAAACAAGAGAAATTGGTTAGTCCTTTCCAAGTCCATTCTCAGTAGTCGTACTGTGTTTGATCTTGTGGTCCGTTCTAATTCACACTGGATTCGATATAATCTTTGGATGTTAATTGAAAAATTTCATGAGCCTTGGTGTATATGGATTAGTGGGTTTATTGGAAACCTTTTTTTTTTGAAGTGGATCTTGTACACACCTCGACTAATTCTCTTTTCGATACGATCAAAGACAAGTCATTCACGCCGGGACTAGGTTATTTATTGGAAATCTTCAATAGAGTATGACCATTAGATGTATATGTTTCAAATGTATTTAGATTTAACTACTACTACTGGCCAAAACCCTTCAAATGGAAGATACAATGAGAAAGAACACCACCACCGCTACTTCGTCAACAACACCACCACCACCGATGCTGTCAACACTTAGCCTCTCTTTCTCTTTTTATCGCTCTCTTTGTTACGCCCCAGCGACACCCCTAGTAAAGCCACACACCCTCTTCCATTTTGCCGATTAGTTGTTAAGAGACAAAACCCGCAAACCTCCTCTTCCACTAGACCCAATGCCTCCCCCAATTATCGCCCAATGCCTATATAAAAAGGTCCCTTACCTTCACCAAACATACTCACCACATGTTCGATTAAAGTTCTGAAAGAGCTTTGGGGTATACATGCAGATTGTTCCTCTTCGTTCTTCAATTTTTTGTTTTTAGTTCACCGTACATCGCTTATATGCAGATTGTTTTGGATCTCATTCTCTCTAATAATTTCATATTTTTTTCTTTTTTTTCTTATGTATTACATTTAGAATACTGGAATGGCATTTGGGTTGTGGATTTTAATATTTATTTTGATTATTATGTTGTTCAATTTCTGATCTTATATGGAACAAAAAACCCTATTAATGACTATTACAATGGAAATTGAGATTAAGGAAACCAAAATCATGATGTAACAGATGGAGATTGCTTGTTATTGAGGCCCAATTTGCTAGCTAATACTACTACAACGGAGATTGAGAAAACAAAAATCTGTAGCAATTTTTTTTTGATGACATGCCCGTGAGAGAGACTCTTTTGATTGACATGGATTTTTATGGGTATAATGGGTTGCATTTATGTTCCTCTTCAATGGGTTTTGTTTGATTTTGGAAATCATTTTATCTATGTTAGCCTGGAATTTCTAATTTGATAGTTGGTATTGATTTTGGAAATCATTTTATCCATGTAGCTACGTGAAATGTGGTGATCATGTCAATTGTCATCAATTGTTTGAAGAAATTCCCCAAAGGAACATAGTGTAATGGATAGGAATGGCAGTAGACCGAAGCGGGGGCAGGGGTGTAGTCTCTATCTTCGTACCCGTTTTAAAAACCTTCGTACATCCTCGGTCCACCTCCATTAACGGATATAGTTTTTATCCCTATGTCTGCGGATAAATTTGTAATCCCCGCCCCCGTCCCGTCCCCCGCCTTCACCCCCACCCCAGTCCACCTTATCCGCCCCAACCCAAGCTCAAGTCAAGCCAACATAATCCAAAATTTTAAATAAATATAACATTCTAAATAATCTAACATAATTATAGAATATCATAACATAATTAAAAAACTTGTCATCTACAACATAATTCAACATAATACAATTAAAAGTTTGTCTCCCATGTAAATCCAACACAACATCATGCAACACAATATAAAGTATCATAACATAATCCAACATAAACAAAATATATATTAAAACACAAACATCTATACTTTTACAAGCCAAAAACATGAAAAACAAATTAAAAAACAAATCAATTTCTAAAAGAAAAAATCATTCAATAATATGTAGATTTGTCTTGACAGCAACACATATATATATAATTGTCCATATCTGAAGGCACTATGTACCACAAAAAAATCGCTAATGAATTTTTCAAATATATTCGCAAATAATTTTTCTTGAACAAAAGTTGCATTGAAAAATAGACAAATTTGAAAAACCCACACTGAATTGTCTAAACATCAATTAGATACATACCCCCTTACATTGCACAAGTATATGTGAATCCCAAATATACGTTATTTGCACTCATAGTTGAAGCAGCCAAAAAAAATCACTAAAAATATATTTTCCCAATCTATTGGCAACGGACAATGATGCATTTAGTGACCAAAGACAATTTTCAATCCCCACACACTATGGCTTGAACAATTCCAATATGTTACATGAGCAATGGCAACAGCTAATAAGCATTTTCACTCACATATGCACACTAATCAATTATTTGTTTTTCTTTATTTTTTCTCGGATAACTAAATAGAAAAATTTATTAAAAATGAAAATTACAACTCAGTTGGGAAGATAGACCTTTTATTTGGGCCTCAACGACAACATAGCTATGAAAAAAAAAACAATATAAGCCAATCATGCACAATTAATAGAAGATGAATATCTCCAATTGAATCGCACAACCATCTATTCCAACCTTTCATGGTATGGACAATGTTTAAAAGTACACCACACTGCAGGATCATGAGAAAGGTGATTACCTGCATATGATGAGATTTAGATGGGTGCAATTACAAAAGCCTTTAGGGCCATAGCAACATATTCTTTGAGACCTAAAGTCTTTGAGAATAGATTCGTGGTGAAGATCAATACACACATCAATGACACCTAACAAATTATGAAAAATGTTTAATAGCATTAGCATAAGGCGAGGCTGCAAAAATAAAAAGATGTACTAGCATACAGTATGACAGAATGTATGACTCTATATGGCAGAATGATGGACAACTGATCAGATTTTAAGCAAGCAGGTGACCAGATTTGTTAGGGAGAGTTAATTCTGTAGTGCAAGTGTTTAAAAACGTAATCCCATCTAACTTACTTAGGTACACCCATAATCATTCCATTCCTAGTCCCAATCAACCCTACCCCCCTAAAAATTTGTCACACCACAGTGAGGAGAAGAGTTAATATTCAGCTTCCATCCACATAAATTAAAAATACTGCACCAGGAGCAACACAAACAAATGAAGCAATTTTCATGCTCAAGGACAAGAAAAGAAATGACATTATTCTTGAGAGATTTTGAGAAAGAGAGAATCGTTCAAGCTGGACGTGAAGGTGATTTCAGTCAATGATGTGACCTAATGTAGAGGGCCACAGGGTC